ATAGTTTTCTAAGTTACAATATTGTCTGTAACATATATCTGTATCACTTTGTTACATGATGTGATCAATGCCTAAATGTTAACATATAATTTTTGCATTTTTTTAAATAACGTTTAGCTAGAATCGCTATGTGATGTTTATTGTTTATGTACTGTACCACTATTTTTTAGTTTATATAATATTAATAATTTTTGCCTGACAAACAATCCCACGTAATATATTAATCAATTTAATGATATATTTTTAATATTAATTTAAATAAAAATAAAAAATGTTATATGCTTATAGGCTTCATCAATATTCTAGGTCACCAATATCATCACCTTGATACCTTGGTTTAGGTGTTTTTGTATTAGTTTAAATCTCGAGTATTTATTATATTTTATAACTATCTCAATTTCTTGAAATAATATTTAAGTAGGATGGGGAAATATCTATTTCAGAGTTTCCTACAATATTTTATTTATACTGATTTATACTAAAATAGGTATCCACAGTATTTTTATGTTTAATAATATACAGATAATACGGTATAAAAGACAGTTTTACAGTTTTTAAACACAATGTCTCTATCGTCCTAAAAATATATTTTGACCACATTAGTGTTTTTATTGTGAATATAATAATTTCGACTTTTTAAAGAACAGAAATCATAAAAATTCAACTTGGCCTTGGATTTAACCAGTGTTTAAAAGAATCTTAACGAAATGGTAGTATGGAAATGTGGTTTATTTTATTAAGTCTATAATAGTCTATTATTGTTTATGCCGACAAAATAATGGAAACGGGTTTGACGTAATATGATTTTATTGCGAATGAATAGATAATACTCAATAATAGAAATGTTGCAACTTTTTCATCGCAATCATTTAATAGAAAGTAATTTTCAAAATTTTAGTTCGTTTTCTTTATTTGTCATTTTGTAAGAGAATTCGACTTTGGCTTACACAATATTTCATCATATTTTCAAATAAAATAATTTAGTGGTGGTTAATATTTTTCAATAATTAAAATACAAAACATATTATAAGAATATAAAATCTTTTATATATAGTTCAAAAGAAATACTTAATTAAAATAAATTATAATATTGTAGGTTCTGTAAAAGTGGATGTAGGTGGACATTTGGTTGTAAATAATCAGGTTTACGTTAGAAGCATTCTTATTATTCTTTATTCAAAATTCGTTAATGAAATCTAAAGAAATTAAATTAATCTTTATTTTTAACTATTTCGGTATAATTGATATTATATCATAATATTAATATTATATTATTATAAATAACTGTACAGTTATACTGATAAAGTTGAAATGGTATAAATGGTCTCGCTTAGACAATGCGTTTTAATATTTTAAAAAGAAGAGATATTTTTCATAATCAATTTCATTAAACGTCCGTTTTTTCTTGTTTAAAAAGTTTCAAGTGCTTTTATAAAAGTTTTTATTTTTTTAGTATACCCCGAGTCAGTCCGAAAGTCATCAGTAGTAACCTTCGTGAGTTTTATATGGAGATATTATGATTCGGATGGAATAAAATATAAAAACGGCGGATAACATAATATATCGTCAGACCAGTCTGCTCTCGAGTGGTGTTGGCGTATGTTTGAGAAGAGCCGTAATAATAATGTATGCAGAGAGACGCGTCCGACGGAAATTGTCTCTGGCGGTGCTTCGGGAGCAAAAAACAATTGCGGCGCCTAGTGCGTCAAGAGGAAAAACTGCGTGAAACTTTCTCGGGCCGACCGTTTTTCGTTCACAGTCTTCTGGTGCCGGTCATAACAGGATGTGCGCGTATCGGTATGGTTGCAGTATTATATGGCGGCAGTGGCGGATTTACGATGCGAGAAACTCGAGATTTATTGGCGGAAAGTGTGGAAAAAGACGACTCGCGACACGCCGAACACACACACACACGCGCACACATCAGGAAAGAGTTTTCTCGTCCGTTTTTTTCACCACATACTCACATATCATTATCCGTGTGTATGAATGTGTGTGCGTGCGCGTGTATATGTGCAGAGTGGGATGCTATTCGGGCGGATATCCGATTTTCTGGAACGCCGCCAGGATTAACTGCACCGCCGCCGCCGGCTGTTTTTCCCCGTCTGCCGCGCGGTCTACCCTCCATGTAATCGTCTGGATATTCGTCCTGCTGTATACTCCGCCGGCATCGTCGTGCCCTTGTCGCCCGCTCCCCCCACCCCCAACCACCCACCCGTCACGCCGACCCCTTTCGTCCGCCGAAACAGGCAGGGCGTTTTTCCTTAATCCGTACATATGCTTCCGTGCCACCATTACTTACCGATCCCCCGCACAACTTGCCACCGACCGCCGCTCCCCCCAACCCACCTCACCGGCATTCCGTCCCATTGATATCGATCTCACACGCATTGTTCTAGAGGACGTGTATATTCGTCGCCGAGAGAGGGGGTGGGAGGTGACTCGCGCACGAGGACATAAACCATCAATAACGCGGACGATCCCGGATAACAATCGAGTCTATATCGAGTCGTTCCGTGGTAAATTATTTTTTTCTCGTCGTGCCAATAATATACATTGGTAATTTCCTCGGGAACACATATTATCGCATGTATATAACGTATAACACCAAGCATTTTAGTACGAGCTATACCGGTTTTGTCGATTTTACATAGGGTTTCCAAATTCGGTATAATATTACGGCCGAATGATAAGATACGTGTTACGTCTGTACGCAGTTACGTGTGTCATGTGTCGTGTCGATCAAATCACATACTGATACCTGGCACGACACAACACACGACGTAGCTATGAATCCGGCTTTGAGCTTGATTATTATAATATTACATTTTATGCTCGCCGAGGTCGTGTATGCCAACGAGAATCTGTGGGGACGTATACCGCGGTTGCGGTGATGTAATATGAAAATTATGCTGCCGCTAAAAGGCGCACGTGCGAACTCTGACGACTAGAAGATTTCTCAAGATTTCACACGGGCCGTTTTTTTCTCTCAACGCTGAACGGCCCATTACGCCCTCCGCTCATTTGTACGCACTTCGTCCGTTAACCCGGATGGTTCATACATATACATATACATATACACACACATATATATATATATATATATATATCATATCATATATGTATTATTTAGGTGTGTATAAAACGTCATATACGAGACGCTTAGCGGGCGCACATGCCGTGGCACTAAAAATGATTTAGTGTCGCTAAGCGTATTTTTCGCACGACAGTAACGGTGGGCGGGCGAGGGGGTGGAGGAAAAAATGGAAAACAACCGGGCAGGCACGTAAAAAGTAACACGTGCCGCGCGCGCAGTATTTGTCCGGGATACGTCTTACTTCGAAGTCTCTAACCGAAACACATATATTACACGGATATATATGTGTATGCCAATCATAAATAAAACGGGGAGGAGAGACATAATATAGGGGAAAGAGTCGGTGATCTTTTGTTAAGACTCGACACGAAACGTGCTCTGAAGGTTAACCGAGTTTTCCTTTTAACCCTCGGCACCGAGAAGACGAAAAAAAAAAGAGCCAGTAATTGACGTATAGTCCGGATAGCCTCACTCCGGCGTACGTCTCCGCCCAACCACCATCGCCATCGCACAACCGCCCGACCGCCGCCGCCGCCACCGCTCCGACAATGGTTCAGTCGACCAAAATGAAACTGCAAACACCGAGCGGAATTTTATGTATTGGGCGCCTGCGGATCTTGCAGAATACGAATGACTGTGTGAGGGTTCTCTTGGAAAAATTTGTAACACAGACAGATGCAGTCCGGGAATCGATACATGCTTTCGCGGGAGTGCACGTGTCTTTGCGGAAATAGTATTATCCGGTACAGCTCGGCGGAAATTTATTCGAAAATCTGGGTATTATTGTATCAAAAATGCATACTCTCCCGAAATCAAATTTGATTAAATTGTGTGTTATATTATAAATACGAATATACATTAAGTCAAAATAAACAGAAAACACACAATAATACGTAAAAACATGGTGTTAAATAAAAATGCAAGAGCCTGCCTGTTCATTCGAAATCAACTGATTTGACAATAGACAATACATTATTATTCATTTACTCAAAATATTTACAAAGTTGTATAATATATATTATATACACTATTTAACCATTTAAATATAATTCAACAATTATTGGGAAAACACAATTCAATAAATTGTAAGTCTATTATATTATAATATAATTAAACTGCCAAATTCAGATGTTCGGGTGAATATCCGAAACTATACAGATAATTATCTACAAAATTTGTCATACCAATAAACTCTAATCATTGTAATCAACACCGGGTATATTACCGAACCAACACACTCAAATAATAGACTGTTATTCTGTCCCCGGGAAATTGAGATATGAAATAGGTAGTAATAAACTCAAGGCGCCATCTGTCCGGTTCTTCCATTGACTTTTTTTTTAATGTCAACGGAACCACTGACCGTATTTGCTTATTATTATATTATGTTTAACCGAATAATGATTAACGATTTACATTTTACCCTGGGCGAAATCTGGTAATATGGCTAGTTAAATAGCTATTTTATAAAATCATTCTTCAAATTGACACATTTATTCATACCTACTATTATAGACTTTTACAGTGAAGATGCGTATGAATAATAATTATGCACAAGTAGTATGCGTATAAATTAACAATATTTTGTACTATATTATGTATTTATCTAATTTGGTTCAGAAAGTGGTATGAATTATGGTTTCAATTATTTTAAACAAAATTACTACTCGTAGCTTTATTGAAGTCCATAATATAATTTGGAAAATACTGTGAAATATCATACAGATTTATATCCAAATTTTTAAATGGCCATAGTAGGCGGAAAGTCAGAGAATATTATGACCTTGCTTGTAGTTGATAAGGTCTTGTTAATTTCTTACGACCTTGTGGAATTTATAGTTTATCGTAGGTATATACTATATATATATATTTAAATACAATAGTTTTTGTTTTTACTTTTTAGGTCAAGTGGGGATTTTAAGAGATACACTAGTAAATAAAGTTTGTCGTTGATTACTCAGTTATAAGTTTGAAAAAGTAAGTGCAATTTTAACCATTTAAAACGTTGGAGTTTTAAAACATATTTTTAAACTTTTCTTTCAAATATTTCATTATTATTTATCGACCAGGAATCTCAGTAAAGGATTAACAAAATTGCAATGTTGGCATGAAAATAGAATATCATACGCAGGTCACTGAATGCAACACGTGAACTTCTGCTGAAAGAGACGTTTGAAATGGCGATGGTTATCATTTGCTTTCTATGGAACAATGGCAGAACCCTTTAAAAACCTCGAGGGATTTTCCCCTAAAACACATACCGAGATTGGATACAACGTATTATCATTTTCCAAGTTGAAACCAAACCTTGTATCACAATACAGCATCACATGCCTCAAGCAATGTACTGTTCGCAAGGAATGTAGATATGGGGTGACAATCCGTTTGGACTTAGATATGTTGTAGTAGGTATATAACGTTCGGAGCGGGTTAAAAATATTACACACGGTAAGAAATCGTGAACCGTATAGAAATAAACTTATGTAATATAATATTATGAACTTATTGTAGCAGTAAAATTAATAGATAACATTTATATCATAAATAATAAGTATTAAATTACACATACCTAGTTTTATTTTTAACATAAAATATTTATTTAATTGGTGAGTAAATAAAAATATTTGATGAAATAAATTTTGTGTTATGGTCAAACATGAGTTTGTGTACACAAGTTAAAGTAGATTTCGCTTTTAAAACTAATTATGATATCTTACTAATAATCATAATTCAGAATAACGAACATTTAAATACAATGTATACAATTATATTTTCTATACAAAACGGTAGTTTAGGGTATCACCTTCACTGATAGGTTTTAGTATTATTAATTGAATCATGAGTATTAATTATTATTTATTTTGTTATTTTTAGGTGAATCAAAAGTGTCGTGCAGAGAGAATTCGACATTTTAATTAAAAAGTATGTATGTTGGATTTAATTGTATTATTTTTAATACCTAATAAATATTATATTAACGAAGTCAATTTAATATAAATAGTATGTATTCTATAGCTTCTACGTTGTTATAAAATGTATTTTAATGTAATTCGATGCATGTAAGTATCGTAAATATTATTTATTCGTTTAATAATTTTGAAATAAGTGTAAGTGAATTATTTCTTATGGGTAGGAACTTATCGATGGTATTTGTATATATATATATACCTACTAATTACTATGTCACGAACCAGAAAATAATCTTAAAAGATTCGATGAATATCAATCAAATCTATGTTTTTTTCTAAAAGTTTATGCATTATTGATTTTTGAAAAATAAATTATTTTGTCGTTATTTTTTGTTATGTTATTTAATTGGAGAAATGACTTTTAGCTAATAATAATTAATATTATGTTATAATAGTGGTAAATATACAACATTTTAGGTAGAACATGTAACTATTCACTACACTATTGAATACTTTTAATCCAATACTGTCACTGGAAAAGTTACTTTATGGTATAAAACTAAAATTGTTGTCTAAAATCTGAGAAAAATAATAAATGTTTTTATGTTTTTATGTTTTGTCATGTTTACTCTGTAACTTTATCTAAAATATAAATGTAAAAATATTTTAAAACTAAAGTTTTAATAAAAGAAAAACTAAATTTTTGCAGTAAAACAAAAATAGTTTTACCATATTCGTTGGTCAGACACAAAACATACCATAAACAATAGGTTTAGTAGATGTATTTAATATTTATATATGTGTGTATTTTGTATATTATATGTGTATATGTACAAAAAATGTTCCTAATAGTCTAAAGTGAACTTTTATTCACATTTAGATACTCAAAAACAATAAAAAGGCTTAATTTATGATAATAAACACACTAGCAGAGCATTTTAACTTCACTAGCTTACAAATTTACATAATGTGTAACACTAACTGTATATTTTGTATTTAGTTGTAAAATCATAAATGTTGTACAAAGCAATTTCAAATATTTTGTATGCATAAAAATGAATGTAACAATTGAAAAAAAAATATAGACCATGATTAATGTTTTTTTTTAATAAACATTTTGGACAGACAGCGAGTAGGTACACTACATTTCGATTAATATATCTAAAAGGAAATTCAATAATAATTAAACATTGATTACATGTTTTAATTGAAGGGTTGATAAAAGTTAATTGCATAATGACATTAAAATAATGGTTCGGTTGTAAGAAGATATTTTTTTTTTAATGGAAATGAATTGGTTTTTATATTATTATTTATTATTGTGGTAAATCTAATTTTAATTAATACACACTGTTATCAATGAATAATTTTCTTTTATAGAGGACATAATGAACTTATCTTTTATTTAAATCTTTGATGCGTTTTACTTGATACGATTCTATTTGATCTAAGTGTTTTGTAGGGATTAAACCAGAAGTCTGATCGTTAATTAAAAACGGATTCTTTGATGTTCTACCTTCTTATCACCGATAATGGAGATTGAACCAATAAACCGGATTATGGGCGCCAACATGAATTATAACAGCTAGTGCAAGGAAGGAGAACATAGACACAAATATAACGTTAATAAAATGTTAATTTAAAAAAAAATCTTGTTTAAAAAATATGTAATGAAGGCAAATGTAACGGGTTTATAATAACAGAAAATTAAGTAAAATTAAAAAAATTTATTCAATTCATAATTGTGTCGTAGGTACTTACATATAATATTATCTTATGTACGTTTATGGAAGGTATTTTTATAGTATTGCTTATTTAAATATTTTAAACATAATATTATACTATTATTGTACAAAAAAAAAGGACATAGATAATGTTTATCTTGTTTATTTTCTATGTGATATTTTATGAGTAGGTATACTCGTACATAAAACTAATAGAAGTGATATCAGATCCGAAAGAAAAAAATCTCGACCTGTCTTGTGCATTCATGTTGTATCTGACTATTTGATAAAATAAAGCATTTGAAAAATTAATCTCTATTCAAAAAGATTGGCGATGTCGTTAATAAAATATATTGAAGGAATTAAAAAATATATAATATATAATGCTACGTCATTAATTTAATGAAAAGGAGTAGTGAATGACCCAAAAGGTCTCAAACGGGTTATTATTGTTTGTTACTGACATTTAAATTAAAAGTAGCTATTAACTGATTGTTAGTAGATAAGATATCATTATCTATACAAATACTATAAAGGTAGACGGTAGTAATTTATCAAATAAATCGAATCGAGTGGGTCGTGGGTGTAGGTATGAACCTTATCCAAACAGTCGCTTATAGTATATTATTATATTTTACATTACCGATCTCTATAATTTGATGTAAATTTATTTTAAATTTCATTCTCTTCGTTATTGCCCTTATAATAATACGTACAGTTATATTTCCATAAATATCTGTGTAAGTCTGGCGAATATATTTTAAGTGTTGGCATTCATTTATACATATAGGTACTGCAGTCTGCAGCAGTGCAGTACATCTTTAAAATGACAACAAATCATTAAAACGATTCGGCGGAGTCGGTGTTAAGTGAAAACGGTATTGGAAATTGGTATTCGAATTTAGTTTGCGGCGAGCGGTGCAGGTGGCTACAGCAATAATATTTCGCTCGGGTATCTTTTACACGATAAATGAATGATAATAACAATATAATTTTATTTTCGACGGCGGCCAAGAGGCGGTCCATCAACGTGTTGATGAATATATCGGGTCTCCGCAGCATAATACCTCCGTTGAAATGTACCTATACATATTACATAATATTGCGCCTATGTGTAGGGATCTACCGTTATGAATACTGTTCGGCTTGTTTCGAGTTCCGACACAATGTGTTTACACGATGGTCGCCACCGCAATACATAATATTTATATACATATTATTGTTTAGGTACAATAATATATGACCATATATACATATACTCGACACTGCCACGGTAATCGCGTTACGGTTTCTCCATCCGGACCACCGCGACCGGTCGTCGTCGTCGTCGTCGTCGTCGTCGTCGTCGTCGGCCGAACAGCGTGCAAGCAAACACCGGCCGCGTGCCAAACACACATATTACAATAAGCGCTCGTCCGGGGAGGGGCGGCGGCGGCGGTGCTCCAGCAGTCGTGGGCGGACAGCGTTTTCTCGACAGCAACGCAAACACACTCGTGGAAACCCTTTTCGAGGAGGCCCTTTCGCCGAGCCGCGTTCGTATCGTACTATATATACTGCGATGTACTCGGGGGCACAAAATATTCATTAAAACCGGTCACGTGATACTCCAAGGCCGTCGGAGGGTATAGCTCGGGTGAGCGACGGTGAAGGTAGCTGGGGGGAGGGAGGGAAGGAGGGGTGGAGACGTTATTATAACTACGGTACAGAGTGGTAGTAGCAGTAGCAGTATATGTAGTAGAATATGGTTGTATGCGCCATGGTATATGTGTTTATGGTAGGTACGTGCGCCGAGGATTGAGGGAAAATATTTATTTAACCACTTGTGAAAATAATGAGCGGCGACCGCAGTGGCCGCGTTGGTTGGCCGCCGACGAGGGTTGAAATTCGCGACGATTAATCTCGGCGAAACGATAATAATTTGACGATTTTCGCGCGCGTGTCTGACCGCACGTCACAATAACGACGAAATGAAAATATTATGGGATATTATTGATTTTTTTCCCTGATTTTAGTGTTCGGTTCTCGAAAACGTCCGCCAGTCCAAATCGCGACGACAATAATAATAGTTTTTATTTGACGACCGCTCACCGCCGGGATTGACGATATTTCTTTGCTGCTGAAAATATCGCGCGTGACACGCGCAGACGCTGTCGTATATAGTAAAAATAATATGTTTTCGAAAATTATCCACATGCACAATATACGCAATGACTAGCGAACAGCGGTGTAATGTAGCGGGACACGAATCGTAATTTTATGCACATATATACATTTATATTGTATGTTGTATACCTACGTTTCGTCCCGAACGTTTAAAGGAGAATAAAACGAAAAATATAAACGAATCAACAGATATACACGCGAGCAAAAGAATTCGAAACCAGAGTTGTGGTAGTAGTAGTATGGTTGTTGTTGTAGGTAGTCGTAAAGGACCGAGTGATTGTCAATGGAGTTTTGAATATTTTTGCACGAAGACGTTTTTTTTTTCCCGAATAGTTTTTGAGTTTTCCGTTTACGGGAAAAATCAATACGGTAATGTTATTATGTAAAACGCTAAGGGTTCGGTGCGGGAGAGAGAGAAAAAAATGAGAAAAAGGAAAAGTAAAAAGGTCCACCAGCCGTATTCCGGTCACGAGCGCCAATCAAAATTCTATTCTTACACTTCTGTGTGCCGAACAAGAGGGCAAAGGACGTAATTTAATTTCCTAGGCGAGACGATGCGATGGCGGCGGCGGCGGCGGTGGTGTCAGCGGTTGAGATTATCCCCGTGCAGTGCAACAAAAAGGGACGAAATTCGGTTGTGGATACTAATTTCGAATTTGGCGGTGTATGACATTTGATTAATATTCTGCTCGGCGGCGGCGGCGTTGGCCGTACACAACGCACGTCAAAGGACCCGAAAACGGTCTTTTGATTACATATTATTATTATGTTTTCGCGGACTAAAAACAATATAAAAGCGGCAATAAAATTGCCTTTTTGAATGCGGAGCAGTGAATTTATATCATCTACGACAAAAGTCGCCCACTTTCTCGTTTGACATTTGTAAAGTTCAGACAAAAAGGGCCATTGTTCGTCCGAAAATAATGCCGAACAATGGGAACGTCGTCGGAGAGGCGCGCGCGAAAAAATAAAATTAAATAAAAACCTGGTCAAATAATTCATAAAACAATGAGCTCGCTCTGGCGGTGATGGTGGACGGCACGGCGGTGGCTCACACGGCAGCGGAGGTCCGAGTGTCCGAAACACGAGAATCTGAATTATTAACGCCGACTGTGCATTGCACTATAATAGTATGCCGGACAATGTTAGTCGCGTATATACCGATGGTCAGTAGAAAAAAACGGT